TCAGGGGATCTCGTAGTCGAGCAGTCTCGACTAGAGCTTTCTTACTTGTTTTTTAATTGTTTCAAAATTTTTATATACTTAATTAAATGAGTTTTCTATTTCATTCATTTAAATACATCGAAATTTTAACCATACTAAATGTGCGTTTTTATTAGATTGGTTCAGGGTAGTATCTAGTCGAGCACTCTCGACTAAAGTTTACTTGTCTGTTTTTTTTTTTTTAGTCTGATATTTCTTGCATAGGGTAGACCTTATAACGTATATGCCTGTTTATTGTTTATCAGGCGAGAGCTCCTTGTATAGCACGGGAAAAAACTTTGCATGAAATACCTTATGAAAGTTGTGAGTAAACATCACATATATTACCTACAAATGTGTATTTTCTACAATTTTTTCCTGTGGAAGCTCTGCTGCAATATGTTCATTTTTTGTGCTTGTTCTGAGTTTCTAAACACTGCATCATACGTAATTTCCATTTATTTATTTATTTTATTTATTTTTTTTTTTTTTTGGAAATTCTTTATATATGTGGAAAACAAGTAAGAACTCCCATCGAGACTGCTCGACTAGGAAAGACCCTAAACCCTCTAAGCTGATATTCTACTCATTCTGCACATCATACAAATGCATCCACGCTCTGCTGACTGCACAGCTACCAGTGACTGCGCTTGGGCTACGCTTAAGTATAAGAATTAATTTGTTAAATATTTTCTTGGGGGCGAAGGGGGCATAGCATCCAAAATCTGTAATCACAGTAATTTTGAAGTCTCTAGGTCTAATAGGTTTCAAACTAGGCTGAAAAAAAAAAAACAAAATAAATTTTTCGATTATTCACGATAAAAAGTTATCGATATACAAGATCGGTATACACGAAAAAGCATGCCAAATTTCAGCTCTCTAGCTCCTATATCTTTTGAGATCGGTTTGCTCATACGGACGGACGGACGGACAGGGCTATATCGACGCAGCTCGTCGTCCTGATGAAGAATATATACATTTTATGGGGTTTGCGATAGTTCCTTCATGATAATCATTATTATCATCATTATTTTCATGAAATCATTATATCCTGATTTTCCATTTTCAATGGGTTCAGGGTATAATAAAAACAAAATGTATACTTTTGCACATGTATTGTACAAAATAGATTAAAAATACCTTAAGCTTTTTTTATACCCTGAACCCATTGAAAATGCTAAATCAGAGCAACGAGCTGAGTCGATTCGGCCCTGTCCGTCTGTCCGACTGTCCGTATGCCTGCACGCGTCGATCTCTGAAGATTTAAGAGTTAGAGATTTCAATTTTTTTATTGTCAGTATGTATAACTCGCATATCGAGTTTATCACTAAAAATCGATAACTCATCTCGTTATTTTGCTATCGATTAAAAACATGATCGAAAGTCAGGTATAAAATTATGTCTACATCTTTAAAGCTAGAGTCTCCAAATTTAAAATATATATAAATATATAAATACTAGAGACTTGTCCTTCGGTATATACATGTATTTAGACATTATGATTTCTGAAAGTTTCATGAAGATTATACGTCTAGAAATTAGATTATTCAACAAATCAATTCTTATAATATTGCCGACACTGCAGCTCAGCCCAAGCTCATTCGCCTGTGTATGTGCGTGTGTGTGTAGTTGTGAAGGGTTCAGGGGATCTCGTAGTCGAGTAGTCTCGACTAGAGCTTTCTTACTTGTTTAGTAGTAACATACTTGTTGTGAGTGAAGTATAATTTCTTTTCGCCGATAGGAATCCTGGGGTTCTGTTTGATGCCGTACAATATATTCAGCCAATTGTCTGGCTGGAAACTCAGTTTCGCAAACAAAGTGAAAATCTTTGGCCAAGTGTGTTGCTTCTCCTTCGACTAAAGATGTTAGAAGTGTGACGTTAGCAGCTTTTCGCCGTCCGGCCGGTAGGTTTAGACCGATTTTCTCAAGCTTTTCCCTCAAAAGGCGGCCTCCATTTTTGCTCTTTGCTCTTTATTGAAAATTGTTTATTAAAAGTTTATAAATCAAACTATTTTAAAGAAAACAGACCTTCTTAACACCCCGCCAAGTAATGATGCATTTAGGCATTCGGGCGGTGACAATCTGCGTTGGACTTCGGCAATGGTGACCTTATATTTCGATGTACTTGATAGAAGACTAAGTCGACCCGGAACTGCACAAAACACCTCACTAGGCGATCCAGAGCCAAGGCTTCCAGCTTCCTTCCCACTTTTCATGCCTGTGTTGAAACGCATTGGTTTTTTAAATACAAAAACGTTATTATGAATAGAATGCTGTATAAATGTTCATGGCATATTGTAAAAGAAAAATTATTTATTGTGTTAATGTTTTGCATTCCAAGTGTGAACTCAGCGTGTAGGGATCATTTTACAATAATCCTGCCAATTAGAGGAACCAGCTTCTATTTCACCATACATACATCATATTTATGCAGTTTAGGGGTTGATAGCATAGTTGTTTTGGAATGTTTGTGGCACCGCCCCATTCACTCCGCCTATTTTGTAATCTACAGGAAGGCTCGCTCTCTTGCACATGAAATTTAATAACATATGTATACCTCTACAAAACACCAGTCACAATATAAATGCAATATTTGAAAAACTGTACTAATTTAGTTTTTAGCGTTGTATTGTATTTAACGGTAATTTTAATGGAACTATTGCGAAGTTAATAACGTAAAATTCAAATTTTGTATTTCATTTATTCATGAAAAACTGCAAGAAACTGTAAATTTTTCTTGCAGTTTTGATAATAATAACTGGTATGTATGCACATGCATATCCTTCTCTTCGTTGGACTCTCCTTGCATAAAATTATTTGTATAATTGATGAAGGTATATAAAGATAACCCGCTTTGCTCCTTCACAGAGTTCAGTTAAAAGAACAAAATGGTAAAAATAGTACACCAGTCTGGTTAGTAGAATCATAAACGCTTCGCGTTCATATAGTAACGTGTCCATTGCATTAAACCAATATACTCTTTACAAACACTTCTTTGCGAACCCCTTAGTGTACTTGCTCAAGCTAAATTTTTTCTCTTTAAGTATCGATCAGATAAATATCCAGGTATAATTTTGTATGATCTGAATTTTAAATGTAATCAACCATGACTACTTTCGTAAATGAAATTACTTTTTATTAGAGGTAAGTCTGACATGAACGTCACATTTTCATCCAGGGCAGGTGCTTGGACATCATCAACGGCATTCTGCAACGCTTGATGTAAGGCCAAAGATTCATGTTCATGTCCGAGTCTTGATCCATGCGCTGCTCCAGCTGATATTGCACTGCCGTAATCGCTTCTTCGTTCCGTATATGGAAAGCCGTGAGACAACTGAGTCTATAAAGTTTCAATTAAAATTTTTTTTTAATTTTTTCTGCTTTTAAATTTTTACTGAATTTAAATGTATAATTTGTTGAGGTTGGAAATATTACAGGCACTTTGTATGGTAAAATAAAATCAATTAAAATTGTGGATCAAAATTTTGGGTAGACCGTTCCCCTAACCGTGTCTAGGGTTGAAACATCTTAAATGTGCGCCAATCCCAGTGTTTAGACACTCATGTATTTTTACTTTTTCTGCGTGTATGCGCACAAGCTCTACGGGGGAAACGCCTTTTAGTTACAGCGTCAACGTCAACATTAACGTTGCAAATGCTCCGGCCGTGGTTGCAAAAGCCCAGTTCGTTCAGAGCACGCAGAAGTGTGCGAGTGTGTGAGTGCACCGTACACACACACACACACATATATATATATATATATATATATATATATATATATATATAAATTCGAGGGTATGTGTATTTATGTAAACCCTTTTTCTTTTGGGACAGGAATGTTCGTTGTTATTTTCAAGATGTTTCAGTGAAATCCCAAGGAAATTTTTAAAATTTTTCATAACATTTTTTGTGTTATATTTCATAATGCACTTAAATGGAATTCGAAATGCCATAACTCTGGCAATTCTTGTAGATTGAGGTATATTTATAAACCGAGCTCGAATAAAAAAGCTGCACATAGATGTACAGCTAATAAGAAGTATGTAATATGTTAAAAAAAAAAACTTGACGCTTAATGTATATGAGAATGAAAAATCATAAAAGGGATATGATTGACACTTGAGGTCTTCTTGATTCGGGTACATTAGCTTATTATTATGTTTTATTATTAATACTTACAACATGACCTTGTAAGTCTTCCCTATGAGTTCTATGAATTCCCAGTTGATCTTGTGTCGACCTAAGGCCAGCCAACTGGTTGTAGTGATGAAGTGGGGCGTGATGCAATGAGGATAGGGGCTGGCCGTAGGGATCTGTGCCTAAGTACTCAAGCGGTCCATGATTCTGTAAATAGCCAGATATCTAAACTATTTTGGCAATGATGCGTCCAACTGGTCCGCCGTCTAATTCAGAGCACTTACCTGTTGCTGGGGAGGGCTCTGAGCAGAGTGATGAAAAGGTGGTGGAAAATACGGGGGCTGAAAATCAGACTGCAATGATTGGTGATGCATGGTTGCTGCCGACCCATGGGTCCCACTATGTCCACTGTGTCCGGACGCGGGACCTCCTCGACCCGAATGCCCACCTGAATGAGTTGTATAAGCCGGGCTACTGCTGGAAAGACCCAAGCTGCCATGGCCACTAAGGCGTTCCTGTTTTCCAAGTAAAATTTCAATGAAATAATATTTAGTACAGCTCACTAAAAATTTAAAAATTATATATATACGGCATATGCCGGCAATATTATGTATTTGAACAAAAAATAACTAATTTACTATAAGTGTGTGGGGATGCAGTTATAATATTCGTTTGGCATTGGTAGCAATGCAGATATCCGTGTGAGAATGGTGCAGTTACGTGCATCACAATTTCAAGCGGCACGAGATGAGCGAAACAAGCCAAGACAATTGAACGAAGAGAAGCGCGCCGATTCGTAGTCAACAGACGTAAAGAAATTGACCGACAACGTAAAAAAGTACATTACATTCATTTCTTCGCCTAAAATAAATAAATATTACGCTCATCCCAAAGTGGTCATTAGTAAATTGCATGATTGAAAACTGTCACTGTTATCAAGCCTACTGGGTAAATTCTCAATGCCAATGCAAAGATCCTCAATAGCAATCAAAAATAAATGGGGCCCAAACGTTAAGCATAGGGCCATGAAAGATAGACGTTGGCCGATTCTCAGACCTACGAGTATTTTGGAAACTAACACCGCGACACGAGAATTTTATGGCAGACAAAGGCTTCCCTATCTGAAATTTATAGTTTACAGTGTAATACAAATTGAAAATTTTATTTTAAACATATAGTTATCAAGTAGAACATACATATAACAGGAACTTTGTGTTAATTATTTATTATTTATTATATTTGTTATAAGATTATTATTATTATTTTTTTTATATTTATTTTCTGAAATCTGTATTTGTTTGGTTTGTGATATCAATTTATATTTTGTTCAAGCAATGGCAATATTTTATGGCATTACTGAGTACTTAAGTAAAATTTCTATCCGCACACTTTTATTTTTATTCTTGCTGATTAAAAAATATACATAAAAAATATGTATTTTAAGAATGTCAATTTTGTTTAGATAGAAAGACCGAGTCCATTGCAAGATCAAAAAATGCGACAGAGAGAGGACATATAGATGATTATGATCAGAAATATTTGTATGATTTATTCATTTGCAATTTATCTTTCTATTACGCTGTACAATCAAAAATGTAAAGAATAAAACCTAAAAGACTTTCACTGTTATTATTTACTACTGTTTGTTTACTTAAAATTACTTGAAACAATGCTCAAATTAGTATGTTTATGTAAATAAAATTATCTCGAGCTGTTTAGGGTTTATTTTTTTAGCATTCATTTAACATTACATGATAAAAGCATAACTTTATGAGCAAAGCCTAGATGTAAGGATCTGCCTGAGGCAAGAAATTTAGAATTTAATGCAGAACAGAAGTATCCACATACGATATTCTTCTTTGATAGAGTTAATATTATAAATAAATTACATAAACTAACAAAAACAACACCGGTTATAATAATAACGAGGTAAATGACAAAATAAATTACGAAAAGCCGACATCTTCAAATCATTTTTGTACATTGTAGATTGATTATACATGATTGTTAGAAACATAATTTGTATTTATTTTGAATCTTCATTGTATTGACCCGTCTGATTTCGAGTAAAACTCACAACTTGCCACTAATCGAGAGAGTTTTAGCTATTTCAAGCTTTCCTACGTTACTAACCTGAATTTCAATTACGGCGGGCATATCCACATAAGATAGAGTCATGATATCATTTTGGAACTTGAATCTATAGAGAACTGTGAGATCCGGTGAGCACTTCGATTGGATCACTCAATGAACAAGTGTACACATTATTTTATTAATAGTTCACCCTAGCATCTTCTCTTTGCTTTTGTATTATGAAAATCACGAAATTTGTTATAAGTAGGTTCATTTACGGGAGGACAGTCTAGAAATTAATTCAAACTCGACCCGACGGCGATGACGACAGAAACAACGACAATGCAATGACGATGGCGGCAGCGAGAGCGACAACAGTCTGTGAATGCCAAAAGCGAAATGAAAACTGGTCGCGAATCGCGACTGTGTGCCGAAAGGGCAGCAACAGCGTAGTCAGAACAGCGCCGAGTCGTGTAGTCGTCGTAGTGCTTGTCATACGGCTCGGAAGTTTTTTTGCATTCGCCAGTCAGGGCTAAGAAAAAGAAAATAAATATGGAAGCATGTATGTACAATTGTATGCGTTTGTGTCTATTGAATTTTGGATTGAATTTTAAGATGAATATTATGGAATGCTCTGAATTTCATAATTTAAATTCATTTTTATACATCACCTGATACTTGCCTCTGACTTTGAATAACAGATGCGAACAGTAAGAGTATTCCATTTATTTATTAATGACATAGATCTAAGTGGTTTATTGGAAAGTTGGGTTAGAAATAGGTTGCAAATTATGCAAATTCAATAAAACCAATTTTTATTTATATAATTTTTTTGAGACACATCTTAAATGCTGCTACTGCATTTAATGATATTCCCAAATTGTAGAATTGTTAATTGTTTGCTTGATTGTTTGTTTGATTTTTAACAGACAGAAGGAGGTGTGGTATTATTATTATGTTTTTATATATTCTTGATCACCATTTAAATAGATATAATCTGTTATTATGTATAAACGTGAGGTAGATATTTGAAATTTTGTTGTACGTTTATTTCAAACAATCGTTTCCGATTCCAAGTTGTAATATAATAAATTCAAAATAAGATAAAATTTATGTTAGTAAATCATATATCGTTTGTCTCTGGTAATAGACTCTTCCAATTTTGCATATAAGAGAGTGTAAATATTCAAATTAAGATTTTAACACCCACAAAAAAAAAATATTCAAAATATATATTTGGTTTTATCCTATGTTCGAAATTCGAAACAAGAATACAGCATAAAACAAACAAAATACTTGTATTTTAAAATTTAAACTGTTATAACAAACACTCTGAAGAATATTATATACGTATGTATGTATATGCCTGGCTGTATGTATATATATAATATGTGAAAATCACTATTTCATCAAAGATGTTCATCACTCAGTTCGTATTAGGTAATATACTTCAACAGTCGAATTAATATAGAACCATAACATTATTTTATTCGTAACATGTAACAGTAGTATTTAAAACATACGCACGCTCACTAATACGTGTGCAGAAGCATATATGCACTTATGTTTACACAAACATACATAAGTATTTACAATGCAACATATTGCCTTTTGTGAGTCGCAAAAGCCGTGAATGGCTTCTGATATGGCAAGCCATCGTAGCATCCGGTTTGTCGATTCCTTAGAAAACGAAGGATGTTGAGAGACTTTAATGATAATGTGTGTGTGTGTTAGCCATTACACCCGGCAACTACAATGAACGCAGCTAATGTCTGATTATTCATAACGCCTATTGTTGGTTTTCGCACATTTATAAACTTCAATGGCTCCCGTTTGTCCATATGTAAATATATATATTTATGTTATTTTCACGAAATGAATGCGTTTTGCGATTTTCAAGCTATAGGACTTTATTTACATCATGAATTCTTATTATTATCTTATTTTTATTTATATATACATATGTGCATATATTGCTTGCCTAAATAAACCTGTATTTTTCATAAACATTTTATACACATGAAACTATAATCTAGATGTTGATTTTGATCTGCATTTAAATTTATGCAAGGCATTGTGCGCGTTTTTGGAGGACTGGGAAATAGATCTAACCTAAGTATAGATATAACCCACAATTTTAAGGATACACTACTTAAAGTTAATTAGACAAACTTAATTCATCACTAATATCTAGTCTAATATATATAGGAATAAGTTAAGGGAGATGGGTGATGGTACGATATATCAGTGAAGTTCTCTCAATTCCGAGTTTTCGTGTCTGGCACGATAGGAGGAGTATTTGTAATAAACAAAAAATTTGACTAACTATTCCAATTAATTCGGATAATCAAGACATAAATTACATAATTTTTATTAACTTGTGTATTTAAAAATAATAATGAAGGCAAACTATAAATTGGACTTAAAGCTGAATTTAAATGTTGAAATATTCTTCGTTTTTCGTTGTTGTAAATTAAATTCAATGAAATCTGACTATAAATTATTGGAGTTCTAGAACCGATTCTTGCGTACATATAAAGTATTCTGATGTTTGTATATATATTTAATTATGTACATATGTCTGTTCATCGTAGCGGTCTCGATGTAGACGACTAGCGCGAACGTGGCAATTGCGATCTGGACACGAGTTTATTGTGGCTTTATAAATTAAAATAATTTTGATTGATTACTTTGGATTATCTTGTCATTTGCCAGCATCAAATAGAATATTTAACGATACAGATAAACCGGTTTGGGTTTGCTTTGCATGTGTTTCGGCTCTTAGGTCTTTTGACTTAACACACTTCATGCAGACTCACTGAAAAATGTGCGTAAGACTTTGATCAAAAGCCAAAGACAAACTTCGGCTTAGACTCTACTTCACTTCGAAATATTTGCTACCACGAAAAAAAACACTTAAAACAGCTTTTTCTGCTTCGACAGATAAGAAACCCAAAAAGTCAAAAAGCCTAGACCTAAAAAAAACAAATTTCAAAGCTCTTCCAAATTGTGATTGACTAAATGTTTGTAAAAAACATATCCCTTTATTTTCTAATTTTTTAGAAATACAATTATACCCACATAAATTTAACTATCTGATATTTGTCAATCTAAGATAGTCCACCAACATTGCTGCAGATTATTTCTGGAGGCTTTTGTCATATCCGAGATCTTGCCTAACAGGTATTGAGGTACTTTTGCAATTATCCTGGTCAATTGAAAAAATACCTCAATGTTTATTTATCTATCTATCTTTTTTAGTGTAAGCTAAAAGTAATGTGGCTTAGCAATGCCTGATACGCAAACTAATAATAAAATATTTGTATCAATTAACATTAAACAATAAACAGCGGTATTCAATATTGAACTAGTTTATGTGAATATATATTGAATATAATATTCCAATCATATTCAAATACAAAGGCTCGGTACGTCAGGTAAGCTAAGTTTTTTTTTCTTTGGTCCATGTATAATGTTTTGAATTGTGCGCTATTGTCTGTAGTGAATATGCTGAAATTGGAAATTTTCTCTGGTGGTCAATACTCCCATACCGTAATTCAAGCTATAAATAAATAAATTATAAAGATTGGAATGACTGACTGACTGGCTAGCTGGCAAAGCTGGCTTGCGTGAAGGCACAGGTAGACAAGACAGTTGGAAGCTGTTGAACAGGTCGAAATAGTTTCACCTCCACCTCAAGTGTGTGTGCAGAACGAAACATAAATACACACTTACACTCACACACACGTATTTAAAGGCCAACAGAAATGCCCACTACACATTGTATTCTAATGAAATGCTATCCACTCGCCAATGATCAATTGTCATTAAAAGAGCTTTGACTCCAGGGTCTTTTTTTCTATTACACAGGTAAACCGCCAAAAATTCTGCCTCTCATCCCCATACATACACGGTAAGCGAAAATCGAAAATCCTTTATCAGTTGGCAGAGTTAGCTGATTAGCAAATTTAACTAAAAGGCAAAGAAAGTAACACAAAATAAACCATAAAACGAAAAATGCGATTGGAAAATCCGTATAGAAAGTATTGCTTTAGGGATATACAGGATAAATTCTATGTCCTAAATTTGAATTTCAGCAAATATCAATACAAAAACAAGTATGAACGCTCTGGTCGACACTGCTCGATTAGGAGATACCCTGAACCCTCCAAGCTGATATTATTATAATTCTGCACTTCGTGCGTGCATAAGCACACATTCATACATATGCATCACGCGCCCGCGCTCTGCTAACTGCGCAGTAAGCAGCGACTGCGCTTGGGCTGC